ATCAGCTCCCCCTGTCAGGTTCCAGAAGAAGTTGACTTAACTGTATTTAAATAAATGTAGATTGTATCATACTTAATAAAAATAAGACATCCCCTGAAAATAAGCCCTAGTGTGTCTTCTTGAGAAAAAATAAATATAAGACAGTGTCTTATTTTCATGGAAACACAGGTATATATAACCATGCTAACATTATTTGAAAAGTTCATGCTTTACTTTTAAGGCACCAGTGATCACTGCAGTGTTTATTAGTGATTACTGCCATGTCCTGTGAAACAAACATTAAAATCCTAGAATCTCTAATTCTGTATGGCTTTTTTTTTTCTTTGAGACAGGTCTCAAGCTGTTGCCCTTGTTGCTATATATACCAGGTAGAGTGTCAACGGCATCACAGCTCACAGCAACATCCAACTACTGGGGTTAGGTGACTCTTTTACCTCAGCCTCCCAAGTAGCTGGAACAATAAACACCCATCACAATGTCCAGCTATGTTTTTGTTGCAGTTTGGCTGTAGCCAGGTTTGAACCCACCACCCTTGGTATATGAGGCCAGCGCCCTACCCACTGAGCCACAGGAGCCAACACACCCAGGTATTTTTTGGTTGCAGTTGTCATTGTTTAGCTGGCCCAGGATGGGTTGGAATGGCTAGCCTTGGTGTATGTGGCTGGTGCCCTAACCACTGAACTATGAGTGCCAGAGATGGCTATTTTTCTTGATAACCTATTGCCATGGATTAGATCCCAACGAAGTACCTCTAATCATTTTTTTTTTGAGACAGAGTCTAATTATGTTGCCCTTGGTAGAGTGCTGTGTTGTCACAGCTCACAGCAACCTTATACTTCTGGGCTGTGAATCTCTCGCCCCAACCTCCCAAGTAGCTGGGACTACAGGCTCCCACACAATTCCTGGCTATTTGTTTGTTTGTTTTGAGACAGTGTCTTACTATGTTGCCTTGGTAGAATGCCATGGCATCACAGCTCACAGCAACCTCAAACTGCTGGGCTTAAGCAATTCTCTTGCCTCAGCCTCCCAAGTAGCTGGGACTATAGGCGCCCACTATAATGGCCAGCTATTTTTTAGTTGTAGTTGTCATTGTTGTTTTGCAGGCCCACTCTGGGCTCGAAGCCACCAGCTCCAGTGTAATGTGACTGGAGTCCTATCCTCTGAGCTACAGGTTATGAGCTGCCTGTCTATGTTTTGTTGCAGTTGTCATTGCTGTTTAGCTGGCCTGGGCCAGGTTCAAACCCACCAGCCTCAGTTCAGTGTATGTGGCTAGTGCTTTAACCATTGTGGGACGGGCATCGAGCTTGAAGTATCTCTAACCTTACAAGGTGGAAATATGTGAGAGATATTTCAAGGCAAGACAAAGACCACCTGCCCACTCTTCCACTCACAACATCCACACAGGTATTATGTGATCCATCACTGGGTTAGATTCCTTTGAGAAAGTAAGATGGGCAAGAGTGTTTGGTTCTTGTACACGATTAAGATTCGATGTTCCAGAAACAACACACACACACACACACACACACGTGCGCTCTTAGAGGTGAAGAGAACATACATACCAAAATGTTAACGGTAATTATCTCTGAATAGTTATAATTATGGGTCATTTAGGGATTCTTCTCTAAGAGCTACTTGGGGACTGATTTTCTTTTCTCTTACAGCAGTCCTATGTTATTCTAACATTATAATGTATCATTATAAGAAATAAAACAAGACAGTCCAAAATTAAATAACTAAACAACAAAAAGTATTATAGTTATGGGGGAGGAGGCATATTGTTGTCATTTAGAAAACGGAATGAATAGGTCTGTGGTAGTCAAAGTAACTGCCTCTCAAATAAGATCTTGTTGTGACTGAAACAGGACTTGTCTTTGCTGGCTGTGAAGATGGAAGAAAGGGTTATCAGCCAAGATGTATGGCAGCATCTAGAAACTGGGAAAGACAAGGAAATAGGAGGCTTCCAAGTCCCTGAGCAGGCACACCTACTAAAGCCCCACCAGCATCTTGGTTTTAAGCCCAATGAAACCCACTTCAGATCTCTGACCTCTAGGACTGTAACACAATACATTTGTGTTGTGTCAAGCCAATAAATCTGTGATTTCTTTTTTTGTTTTATTTTGAGACAGAGTCTCACTTTATTGCCCTGGTACAGTGCCATGGCGTCACAGCTCACAGCAACCTCCAGCTCTTGGGCTTAGGTGATTCTCTTGCCTCAGCCTCCCGAGCAGCTGGGACTACAGGCACCCGCCAAAATCCTCAGCTTTTTTTTTGCTGCAGTTTGGCTGGAACTAGGTTTGAAGCTGCCACCCTCACTATATGGGGCCGGCGCCCTACTCACTGAGCAACAGGCGCCACCCAATCTGTGATTTCTTTTAGCAATAAAAAGGAAACTGAGACAGGCCTAAAGTTAAAAAAAAAAAAAAGGTGTACTGAAACAAGTACACATTTCCGATTCTGAAACATCCTTTCAATGTGTCTCAGTAATACGATGTGATCCAGAACACAATAAAGTAGGTAAATTACCTCTGCAGATTCCCAATGAACTAAATGTTTTGTTTTCCCCAAATTCCTATTTCAAAATGCTATCCCTCAATGTGATGGTTATTAGGAAATACAGCTTTTGAAGGCAGAGTCCTCATGAATGGGATTATGCCTTATACAAACAATTCCAGGGAGCTCTCAGTTCCCTTTCCACCAGTGAAGACACAGCAAGAATGTGGCAGTGTGCAACATGGAAGAAGATCCTCACCAGATTCTGACCATGCTAGCACCCTGACCTTGGAACTTCCATCCTCTACAACTATGAAAAAAACAAATCTTTCTTGTTTCAGCCACCCAGTTGACAGTACTTTCTTATAGTAGCCCAAAATGACTAAAACAAGAATAAATGAACAAGTATGTGCCATATACACAGGAGAGAGATTGATACAGAATGTGCTCAATAAATATGGCCACATTCCTCCCTTCTTCCACTGAATAACCAATGAAATTGTCATGTTGGATCGGATGTTTAAAAAGTGTCTTTTTAAATGAGATTTCTAGGTAATTAAAACATTTCCCACATGTGTGTTAATAACTATTAGTAGTGCTTAATACTATGTCTCAAGCATTTTTATTTCTTCTATGTCTAAACATACTTCTCTGAATCTGCATTACTCCACTAAATGAATGTACTATGACTTAAACATTTCCATCATCCTGAACACTAACCATGGTCAAGGAAAAAGTTTTTGATTCTAAAAGACAAGACCAATGGGTTTAAATGTCTTTGGGGGTAGGTAAACCCATTCTTTATGCCAGGTAACAAAGGAGCATGTCCTCAGGGGAAAAAACAAATACAACTTTCTTTTTTTTTTTTTTTTTT